CTCCACGCACCCCACAAGCCCCATAACACCCCCCCCATAAACAGACCCCCACAATCTCCCATACCCACACACATCTACCCCTCACACCCTTCTCCTACCCCACATTAAGCACACACCCACATAGATACACACCCACCCCTCTATACCCCCTGCCCCATCACACTCCCCTACAATATACAAGAGTAAGCCTTAATTTTGAATTATTAAGCAATCACCTCTATATATACCACACGAATGCACACAGATCAGGACAAAAATATTTTTTAAAAATAAAATTAAAATATGTTATTGTCAATGTTTGATTTTTAGTATATACATTTTTTTTTTCCAGTTCCAAGATGGCAAACCCCCTTGCCAAAAGGAGTACTTCTGGGGGCAAGGGGAGAGACTTCCTGTGATAAAGGACAGGGGTTAGGGGATGGGACTTCCAGTCCCAAGATGGTGAGCAAGGGGTGGAGCACCTGTCAAGGACTTGGGCTGCCCTTTTGACCCTCGACAGCTTGCCAAAACTTGTTAAGCGGCCCTCCACCTGTAATAATTGCCTGCTCTGCTGTAACTGTTTCTTTAAATTACTACTACTACTGTACTACTATTAGTAGTTAGAAGCGCACCAATTATATTGGTGCGCATATCGGATCGGCACCAGTATGTGTGGGAAATTTACATTATCGGCTATTGGCTTTTTTTGGCCAGTGTAGCCAATAATGTTCACCAATAAATATAATGAATTATGTCTTATGGCCAGGACCTCCAGATGCCTGGGTTCCCTCAGGAAATGGTGGGCTTCCCCTTGCAGGCAGGCAGCATTCTAGCCTGCAGCGGACCCTGCTTGGGGCTTCCAGGAGTGAGAGATGGGGTATGCATGCGTGCGGCCGCATGCATGTGGCTAGGAGTACAGCTGAGCAGTGTGGAGAGCAGCTCCCTGCAGGTAGTCTGTGGAGGGGAAGGGACATGGGGGAAGGAAGGGGAATGGGGAGGGGTAGATCAAGGCCACCACTGGGAGGGAGAGGGGCAGAGGCTGGGGTTGGGGGAGCTGCCCAGCCATGGTAGTACATAGGACCCGGGCTGGGGTGGGGAGCTGGACAGCCGCAGGCAGCTCATCCAGGAGCGGAGTGGTGCTGCTCCTTGCCACTGCATGCATCCCCTGGGGGAAGCACTGTGGGTGGGGCATGTCGTGATCCCCTGGACGAGCTGCTCATGGCTTCGTCCCATTCACCGCCCTGGCTGGGCAGCGCTCCCTGCCCCACTTCCTCCTTCAATGTGGTGGCCTTGATCTGCCCCATCCCTTCCCCTCCACAAACTTACCTGCAGGGACCTGCTTTCCACACTGCACAGCTGCATTCCTGTAGATTGGTTATTGTATCGGTAGCGGCCAATACAGCTGGTTAACAATCGGCTATTGGTATCAGTCAAGAACATCTTTATCGGTATGCCCCTACTAGTAGTCATTAATATTATTATGTAATTAGCTAGCTTTGGAAGAATTACGATCCGTGTAGTGACCCAAGTACTGGGTTTTTCAACTTTTTCCAAGTACCAGTTTTTCAGAGCTGGAAAATACAGTTCTCTATTGTAAAAAGATGTATGGACTAAGCTGAATTTTTTGCATAATAGCAATTTAAATTAATATTTTTACCTTTCAAGAAATTTTGTTTAGAAAAAAACTAAATGCTGTTTCAAAGGAATCTTTATTAAAAATATTTATCTTTTCATTTGATATTTAAAATTAATTTCAGGCTTGTCAGTAGCTTTGTTAAGTACTACCATATCAAGTAATTTTAATTTGATAGTGAAAATATTCTATTTTATGTATGTAGTTTGATTTTCTGTTTTGCTGTTCTGTGCTGTTCTATTTCAGGGTATCCTTACTTAATTCAGATTGAACTATTTTAATTTCTAGGTAAAAAAAAAATAAAAAAAAAATTGAATCCATAGTTATTACAATGCCCTATATAGTGTGGGTGTGTATGGTTAGGTGGAATAATATCAAATAGAATATTTTCTCTCTCTTTATGACATGGCTTGATATACTGATGACCTTATACACTACTTCTGATGCATTGAAGAATAATTTGAAAATAAAAATAATTAAAAACGAGAGTAAATGTTAATTTTGAACCACATTTTCATTAATGGGAATATTTTGCCCCCAGACCAGTGGAATGCTGTTGCTATATATATACTAGCCAAGGGTCTGGGTCTAGCTCTAGCTTTCAATAAATATTTATCTCAATTTAATACTTGTTCTTGTGAGGAGTATTTTACCTGGAGCATTGAGAGAGGAGGAGGAGGGAAGAGTCTTGCCCCAGGGCTGCAGGTGTATTACGTCATTTTTATCAGTCAGCTTGTTTCTTCAAAGTCACTTCTCAGACTGTTTTTTCCCTTATTTCACAAGCAGTTATTTCATTGTCATGCACCCAACAAGGGCTACATTCTCTGTGGTAAATGCATTGTCACTCCCAAAACCTAACAGAAGACAGCTGCTGTTCATTTCCTGTTTGTGTAGCTATATGAATTCTGTCTTGGAATATCGGACAACTCCTGATTTTTTTATTTTATTTTATTTTATTTTTTTTTGCTAATGGCCATCTGGGGGCAGCTGTGTGCCCGTCCCTCATCAGCAGGCCAACTCTTGTTTGCATAAGTTTGTGATCTGTTTTTATTTTGAACTGGCCATATAGAAACTGGTTATACTTACTGTGAAGGACCTACCTGATTGCTTGTTGCCTGCATAATTGCCTTAACCATGAATGGTCTTGAACTCATTGGCCACATCCAGATATGCAGGGGCATGCACATGCAGCAGCACTAATAGTTCCTGCTTTGGGCAAACTGGAGGACCAAGTCTCTGTTCCAGTGCACACTATTGTATTGTGGACCGTGCCATGCTGCTTTTTTCTTGATGGGGGTTTTTAGCACTTTTTTTTTTGCTACTAGGCTATCCCAGTAGCAAATTTTGCCCTCACCCTGTAAATTTGTAGCATGGGGCACATTTTAATGTTCTGTGCATGCAGTTTGTGGCACCACAAAGAGGTTTGTAGGACCACAAACCATATGTGGCTGCATGTCTGGATGTGGCCATGGGGTCTGAGTTGTATTCCCAGTTCTGTCCAACGTTTCTGCACTAGGGACAGAAATTACACACAAACTGGTATAAGTGATCAGAAACCAGTTCAAATCTGTAACACAACAGAAGCTCAATGCATGTAAACGGCTTTCAGAAAGGCCCAAACCAGTTTAAAATAAACCTGGATGGATGTAGTATCAGACTTAACTGAGTTAGGTTAAATTGGTTTATTGACCTTCTGTCCCAGGTTCCCTCCACATTCAAGTAACTCACAGTCCACCAGCAGCCCAGGATACTTTGCACCACCCCCACAAACCCCTTCTTTTAGGGTGGACGTACCTGAGCTGTCTGCTGCAGCTGAGCAGGGAGGCTGCTTTAATGCCCCCTGGCTTCCGGCTTGAGCCACTGCAGGCATGTGGCAGCATTTCTGGAATCAAAAGTGAATGTCTGTTCACTTTCTTATCAGTTCAATCCATGCAGCTTAGACTAACCTGCAAAGACTGAATCGATTCAGCCTTGGGCTTTTGGACTGTGTGAAATCCAGGGTGGGTGCAGCAGCATGGTTGCACCCTCCTTTGCTCTGCTGTACAACAGCTCTTGGTGTGGGGTTTGACCGGCCCTTGATTTTGTGGGACTCTGGATCCCAGGGTGTGAATACTGCCACTGCTAATCTTCTCTTTCCCCTGTTGCTGAATTCAGTGGAGCAAGAGAAAGGAGGAGGGGAAGGCGAACATGAGCAGCATTCATGCCTTGGGCTCCAGAACCATGTGGAAGCAGGGCTTCTGGCTAGACCCTGCCCTTGTTAGCTGGTGAGGTCAGAGCTCAGTGCTTGCACAATGCTCTGGCAGGAGCTTGCACTACCTGGGCAGTGAGGTCAGAGCTCACTGTGCATGCATGGTGCAGCCAAAATGAATGGGGCTCCCTGTTCTTGGATCTACTCCTGGTGAGACCTCCTGTGACAAGATCCACAAGTGAATTACACACCATGTAAAAAAGGTCTTCCTCTTACTTGTTTTCTGTTTGCAGTGTTTTATTTTCAGCAATAGCTGTGCGAAAGCAAATTCAGTTCAGTAGCTAGAATGCATATTATTCTGGCCATTGCCAAACTGCATTTCATTTTCACTAAACGGTGGGTAGAGCACAGTGTCTTTTGGATTTGTATGCACGTTCCATTAGTTTTAGCAGTTCCATTGGCTTGCTTGGATGAATTTTAACGTGTCAATTTTATGCCTTCCATCAACATAGTGCCTGTGCTTCCTCCTCACAGACATTCGTGAACGACGTGCGGATTCCTGACCAGAAGTACATTACGTTAAAACTGAATGACGTGATTCGCTTTGGCTACGATATCCTTGTGTATGGGAGGTGTAATGCACTATTTTTGTTTAAGTTCCCTGCTGTTTGCTCTGTGGAGAGCTAAATATCACTGATTACTACTAATGACTAAGTGTCTTTTATTTTGCCACTTGGAGCTTTTAGATGTCTCATCAACCTATTTCCTTCATTTTGGGCCTAGTCCAAAGCATAATTATATCACCTTCCAGTGATTTCACTGGGCTTTGGACCTTTGTTGGCAAGAATTGCATTCAGTTTGGATACCATTACTCTTGAGTTATATATATTTTTTAATTAGGAGACCTCCCTATTAAGCCATATTTGGCACAATTCTGACATTGTGAAGTTATTTATGGTTTTTGCAGATATGATGATTTGGTGGTTTTTGTTAATCAGTTCACAGAGCAGATTTTTAGTCCTGCCAAAGTCAAGGCACAGCCTGTTTGCAAAAATGCACCTCTCTTGCTGTGTTTGCAGGGGAATCGTGTATGCAAATATTCCTAGTTACATGACTTTTATGTTCTCTGATGGTTACTTGAATGGGTGGTTTCTAAAATTTGCCCCTGCAGATTGCTGCTGGCACAGAATATGTGGGCACATTTGTTTTATTTCCAAGCATTGCTGCTCCTTGAAGGAGGTCAGGTACTGGGCACGAGTGCTGTTACAAAATGTGCACCCTGATAGACTTTGCTATAACATCATTGTTACTTTATCTTCATCCTCCTTTTTCTCATCCCAGAACTACTTTTCATGCGTAAGGTTAGACTCATGTCTAAATGACTTGCTGAAATGGAGTCTATACGATTAGTTAATTATAGGTGGGGCTGTGAGTACTGCCTACTCTTAAGGTTTTCCAATGATTTCCATTTTCAAAAAAACCCTGTTTTCAGTTGCTTTGCCTGGTTGGGCTCAAATTTTATATGCTGGGTGTCTGCTATAGGCTGGTTTTGTGTGGAAAATGTTAGTCAGCAAGGTTCAGGAATTTCTGAGAATGTGGCTAGAAAAAACTGTTCAACTGTTAATATAGTCTGAACTTTTTTGGAAAATTCTAACACTTGCCATGTTGTGGCTATTGATAGTTGGAAGAAGAGTGTCCTTTCTGTCAGGGATATGCCTTTTCCACTCCCTGCAAAAATCCATGCAAATTTGATAAAGTTCATAGGTTCAAAGGAAAGTGGGGCTGGAAGGGACCTCATGAGATCATCTAGTCCAGCCCCCTGCTCAAGGCATGATCATCCCTGACTAAACCATCCAGTCAAGTCTAACCTGCTCTCGGAAATTTTCAGAGATAGAGATTCCATAATTTCTCTAGCTAGCCTGTTTGAATGCTTGCTCATGCATTCAAACAGGCTAACTTTCATGGTGAGAAAGTTCCTCCTAATCTCCAATTTAAATTTCTTCTGCTGCAGTTTTAGATCATTGCTCCTAGTCCTGTCCCCCACAGCTCCAGAGAAAAATCTAGCTCCATCCTCTTTATAATCACCCTTCAGGTATTTGACAACTTCTATCAAATCCCCCCTAGGTCTCATCTTCTCCTAAATCTTGCTTCTCAAGCCTCTAATCATTTGTACTGCTTACTGCTGGACTCTTTCTAAGCTATCTGTTAAGGCTGTGCAAAACAGCTGTGTTTGGATTTGGTTTCAGATTTGGCCGTTTTGGAGGACAGTGATTCGTTTTGGTGTTTCGGATCACTGTTCTGTTTGGCCAAATCTATTTCAAAGGGCTGCACGGGAAGCTTTGCACAGCCCTACCTAGCTGTGCAGGGCTAGGGGCTGGTGTCTGCAGGGCCCCAGTGGGGAGCAGGACAGGGCCATGGGTGGCTCATCTGGGGGGAAGAGGAGGGCTGCTACTCTCCATGCAAACGAGGAGACTCCCATGCAGATCTCTGATCCCTGTCATGCTAGGTCACTGGACAGGGAAGCAAGCCTGCTGGTCCCTGCCATGTGATCTGGCTCCGCAGGGAGCAGAGATCCATGCCAGGGTCTCCTCCCCACCACTGCCCATCCCAGACAGCCCACAGGGATCTCTGCTCCCTGTGGAGCCAGGTTGTGTGGCAGGGACCAGCACTGCTGCATGACTTGGATCTGCAGGGGGCAGAGATCCACGCCGGTTCTCCTCCCTGCTGCTGCCCGCCCCGTGCAGCCTCACGTTGCCAGGGCAAGCAGCGGTGACAAAGAGACTCTCGGCACAGATCTCTGCTCCCTGTGGAGCTGAGTCATGTAGCAGGGTAGCAGCATATAGCTGTTTCCCTGCAAGCCCGGCTCCAAAACGCTGAAATTTTCCAAAATATTTTCGAAACATTTCAGATGCCTTGTTTTGTTTCAGAGATGTTTCTGATCCTTCTATTTTGACTTGGATTTGGTGTTTTGGGTGCCAAAACAGCCCGAAACACCTCCGAAACAAAACAGCTGCCAAAATTTCGCACAGCCCTACTGTCTGTGACTTTCTAATAAGCCTTTGTCCTGCTGCAGTTTGGCCAAGCTCACGGGAAGCTTGAGAGAGGTTAATGGATAAAATCTCCAGATATTCTGTACTTACAGAGCGTGCTTCACTCCCTCAGTTCCTAATGCTGATTGGATTGAACAGGAACCGTCCCCACTGAAAACCTGAACAGGCTCCAGTCCAGGACTCCCGGGATGAAGCTGAAATTTCCTTGTAATGGCAGCTCCAGTCTGCAATAGAACCAGGCACCAGAACTGGGTGTGGGGTCTGTTTTTTTTTTCCTGTGAACTCAAGTGACCTCTCTTACCGCTGATCAGGCAGTATGGAGGTGGGAGCCACCAGGGACAAATACAGAAGGGATGTAGGGTTTTGCAAGGTAGGATTGAAGAGTTCAGTGAGGCACAGGCTGCTGCTGGAGGCTTGCAAGGGGTGGAGAAAGGGACTTAGAGGGCAAGATTTGGATTGGGAAATGGGGAGGTGAAAAAGAAGGGGAGAGAGAGCCGGGGGGAGAGGGGGGAGCGAAGATTAGATGAGGGGTTGGAGCATGGAAGGGGAAAACTGGAAGTGGCTTGGCGAAGAGGCTGGTGCAAGGAGGTGAAGACCGTGAAGCTGAGAAACCTGAAGAGAGGATGATTGGGAACCCCTAGGAATGGGAACATGGGTGGGTGCCTGGTGGCCAGGAGTGGGGAAGAGGGGGTAGAAGAGAGCACTGGCTGGGCACAAGGACTAGGATTGACTGAGGAGCCTCACAGGTCGGGGGGATGGAACAGGGATGAGGAGCCAGGAAAGGGGTAAGGACTGGACAGGGTCATGCTGAAGAAGGCTAAAAGGGATCTAGCTTAGCAGGAACGGAGCAGAAGGCCAAGCTCATTAGAACACCCCAGAGTCTCGGCAGTCCTCTGCTGTCAGCCAGTCTCAGTAAAACCTGCTGGGAAAGGTCCCAACCCCTTCTAGTGCTGGTCTGTCAGCTGTAGTAGATCAGAGGGTTCAGCTCTACTGATGACCCATGTGAGTATCTGATACCTTGTGATGTCCTTTCTAGTTACTTTATTTTTTTTTAATCAACTGTGAAAATTTCACACCAAAAGCTACCTTTAAAAGACAATTATTAAGATAGCAAAGTTGAATGTTCAAAAGATAGGAAATACAAGAAGAAGGATTGCCCGTGCAACCCTAATTTGGCCCTCTTAATGCAGCCTCCAGTTGCATGCTTGCATGCATTTTGTTTTTTCTAGAGGCTGCCTGTCTCATCCCCTGCACAACACAGGCCTGCTTACAGGATGAATCAGGGTTGTGTAGTGAGACTGTCATCTGTGGGAGTCCTTCATTATTGGCTATAGTAATTGGAAGGGGTGGAGTAAACGAGGTGGAGGATTGGAAGGAGAAAAAGGAAAATTTATGGTTCAGGGCTGAGAGTGCTGGCTGGGGGAGCTGGATTCCACTCTTGTCAGCCGCAGTGTTCCCTATGATATGGGCTGGTCACAGGTGGTCACTACTGGTGTGTGTGTCATTTTCTGGGTTTCCAGTATGATATCCTGGGGCTTGATTTGCAGAGGTAGTGAACACAGTGAGGTGTGCAGCTGAGGCCAATAGAAGCTGTGCTTTGACCATATGACGTGATATCTAATGTTACTGTCCTGAAAATTCAAATCCTCAGCATTTCAGATTGCAGATCCAATATTCATATGTGCTTAGTCTCTTTCTGCCTCATTTCTCAGTCTGCAAAATGGCAAGAGTGCCTATCCCTCACCTCACAGTGGTGTTATGAAAATAAGTTAGCCAGCATTTATGAAGCGCTCGGAGATGGTAGTGGTGTATGTCGTAAAATCCTAGGAGAAAATCTTCATAACTCTGCTTTCAGGGTAGGGCTTGAATAAGGCCTAGGAGACTGCTTAACAAGAAGAAAATAAGGTATTGAATAGCTACTTACCCAGTCAGTGATGTCCGTCCCATGGGCAGGGCTCTGTGGAAGATGGTAATTCATCATGTAATTGAAGACTTCATCATGTACACACATGAAAGGCACAAATTAAGGTCACCCAGGCAACTGTGGCTGCTTACAGATGTGGAAAAAAACAAACGGCGCTTTAAGCTCAGCACGCCCCAGCACCAAGCGCAGTGCGTGCCTAGAAGAGGCATCGCATTAGTTAGATCCTGCTTGCCCAACATCTGTATAGATTAGGTACTTCAGTGGGACTTTTTGGTGCTTCTATCTAATAGCTGATTGAATCAGCTTTAGATAAAAACACCAAAAATCCCTGCTCAAGCTCCTGATCTATACAGATGCTGCAGAGCTGGGTTGAATTAATGTGCTGCTTCCAGTAAAGTGCTTCCCCCCACATCTGTCAGTGCCCTGCATTTCTGGCTTTCCCTAACTTCAGAGAGTGGTTGACTTTGCAACCTTAATAGTGTGTTTCACATGTACTTTTTTTCTATGCAGTATATAAGTTCTCTTGTAATCTCTGATTTGCTGTAAACAGAAACCTGAAGAAGACTTACTATAAACACGAATACATTGAAGGACAGTGGCTACAGCTTGGAGCCTAAACTTCTTGCAGTAATTCTGAAAATGTAAATTTTGGAATTGGAGTGGCTATGCCTGCAACCCTTGTGGCTAGTCATATTAAATGAATTATTGAATTTATTGCCCTTTGGCAAGTAGATTTATGAAGGCCTGTCAAATCAATCCATTTTATAAAACATGACTAATGTACCCAATGTATACATCCTCCCTCTCTGCCACTTAAATGCCATTTTTTCAGACTGTTCCCTAGGCCCACCTTGCTCAGCTCTGTACAGATGGCAGCATCTTTTCATGTTCTGTGAGTCATCTGTGCTCAGTTGCACAAGGGTGTACATGCTCTTCCATTTACGGCATCCCTTACAAACTAATGTAGTTTCCCAACTCTACCAATATTACTTAGTCTATTTTAGTTTAACATTTCCCACCATTATTTTTCTTTCCCCTGGTTCTGTGTAATTTTTTGAAGCTGTTTCTGACAGCTTTTCTCAATGCTTCCGTTATTCATTTTCTGCCCAGCACTTCATGGAGGTTATAGTCTGAGTGCCATACATATTGGCAGAATCACGTTTTAAGAAGGCATAGCTGGTCACAACCTGATTTACTCTTCATATGTGAAACTGTAGTGACTGTAAACCTTGCTAATGCAGAGCAGGTGTATGTTTTAGTTTGAGGCATCTGTTCAGGGTACGAAAGCTTCCTCTTCCATCTTTGCACATGAGCATGTGGCGCTAATCCAGTTATGCCTTGGGTACTGAGGAGGAAGAGCAGGAGCTGTGCAGCAGAGAGTTAGTTCAAGAGCAGGGAGGGAATGGTATCATGGCCCTGGATCCTCCCATTCCATGTTGCAATGAGTCAGTATTTCTCCCCACAACTCCCCTTGATGTGGGCCGGCTATGTGCTGCTCTTTACTTAGCACTGGGCCGAACAGCTCAATCAAGTCTATAGAAATGATCAGCAATCTGCTGCAAAAGAGGTGCAGGTGTTGTTTTGAGACAGTTATGTCATACAGTTCTGAAAGAGTGAAGATTGCTATAAATATCTGTATTTTTTCCTCCTTTGTGCTTTCTGAGTTTTATAATCTCCATTTCAGTAACTAAATTGTGGATAGATTTGTTGTGTTGTTTTTGTTTCCTCCTTTACTTCCTTAACAAGCTCTGTACATTCAAACATGTATGTCCTGGAACATATTCAACACAAAGTTCCTGAGGAAGCATTAAAGGTAAGCACATATGTGCTGTTTTTATAAAGAGATATATCAGGTAATGACGCCATTAATCAGGAAAGTGCTAAATATCCTTACTTTTTTCTGAGTGCTTGTGCCAGCTTGAAACTCTTACGTGCTTCAATAAAGCAGTCTGGAAACAACCCCAACTCACAGTTTCTCTTCAATATGCGACTGGTAGGACCTTGCTTTGAGGATAGATGCATCTCCCAGGTAGCTCGGTTCTAATCTTCCTGTCCCGATTCTAGCATTTAACTGAAATTATTTATGGAGTTGTGATTGCCAGGAGAGAAATTTACTAGAGCTTTAGAACATAAAGAGGAGCAGCCACAGCCTTGAACTGATTCATTAAGAAGTCCATATCCTCTTAAAAATCAAGTAGCGAATCATGAATCTGTTTTTTTTTGGATGGCATGGCCTATATTGGCTCTTTAATATTTCCTCTGGTGGGTTAAAATTTGCTCAATTTACTCTTGCTGTTTGTCTAATTTTTACAAGTTCCTTTCACCTTCTAAACTCCTAATCTTTTCTCATGGAGCAGTCCCTCCTGCATCTGTGAGGTGGCTCTCCTGAATGTAGCACAGAAGCAGATACAAAACTTCCCATTATCATTTTGGTCACGGCAGAAAAGCAGCCGCCTCTAGGACAGTGGTGGCTTAACAGCTCACAGTGACATTGCAAAGTTGCTTAGACCTGGAAATACCGATGCCAAATGTCAGTCTTTAATTGAGTTATACTTTCTTGGCCAGGTTTTGTTTTTAAGAACACCAACATAGTCTACTGTGTAGGAGGTTTGGACTGAGTGGATGATTAATTGTGCTTACTCAGACCTGATTTAAATAGAAACACCCTTTTTTATGGATTCAGTTCTGGTTGGATTAGTTAGCACTTTAATAATGCAATCTCTTAATTTGAAATAGCTTCCCAATCCTTCTGTCCAGATCTGGCGGAAATAATGAGGAATATGTTCTGTGGCATCACTGAACATTTAAGATAAGATGCATAAAAAGCACAGCTTGAAAGAATTTATAATGCCATTGTGAGAATAAAGCAGACTTCAACTCTAGGTTCCTGCATGGAAGTGGCATTAATTCTAATTGTTCCTAGTTTATTCTTAAAAGCATTTTCTAATGAGATGTTTTGTGGAGCTAAGTCATAGTGACCTTTGTGCAGACTAGCTATGTCATTTTATACCTTTCTGAATGAGGTATTTGAAAGCTTCTCAGCTGGCATTTATTACTATACTCCACAGCTTTTTGTTCAGGTGTGTGTTTTCCTCTTGTTACAGAGCACAACCACAATATTTGTCTTGATATGAGTACATTGAACTATTGTTCTTTCCATTGCCTGCTGTACAGCAGTTGAAAACACCATACCCATTATTGCTTCTGTCTCTGCAGCATGAGAAGTACACTAGCCAACTCCAGATGAATTTCAAGGGCACGGCAATAAAAAGGGTGGAGCAGTCGATGGAACATGGTGGTTATAACGAATCTACACAAGCAAAACTGGAGAAAGGAGAGAGGAAAGCAATTACAGGTACTTGCTCAAAAACCTGTTTTTCGAGATTTGAAACAGTCGCTTTACAATGCACTCTGCTTTCTATACAGATTCAGAATAGATCTACAAATAACAGGCTGAATCTACAAGCTATTATAGATGTGTCATCTTTCTAAAGCTCTATTATGAGTTGACTTGTTTCAGATTATGAGCCTTGCCTTCTCTGATTCTGCCTTCAAAAGAAACCTGCCGGTTTGATGTAGCAAGCATGCTTTGCTATTGTAATAATGTTTTCTATTAGTTCAGTTGGTGGTGGGGAGGAGGGGAGACCTGGTTTGGCTACTTCTTGGCAACTGTCTGGTCTACTTCTAATTTCTGAATTGTAAACTGATGAGTGAACACCACCAGTGACTTGGAATGAGAGATAGAAAGCTTCAATGTATGCGCCCCTGTGAGCAAAGGTAGAAGCAGCATAGAATTTGTCCTTGAGACTCTGCTTGGTCTTTTCCTCCTGGAACAGACAGTTACTTTAGGTGATTAAACTGGGTTTTGTGCTAGGGCAGATTGGTTTGGAGGCTCTTCTATAACATTTTCCCAGCACTCCTGTGTCTGTCAGTGCTGTCCACCCCAAGTCCATGGTTTTCCTACCATGGTCCAGTCTCAACCAGCATGTCTGCTGTTCCTTCCCTCCCCTGCACTGCTGCAGACCTATGGGGCAAATGGATATAGCAGCCTCTCTTCACGTCCCCACACTCCAGTGCATCCCCTTTGGTTGTGCCTGAGAATGCGTTGCATGTCTTCTGAAGCTTTAAGCTTCTAAGGGGAGCCAAGACCCACTTTATGCACTCTGAATACAACAGTTGCTCTCAACCCTGGATGCCCCAAGGTGCCAGGACAGTGAAAGAAAGTAGTAAGCTTGGAGGTTAGCAGAGAGATGCTGTCAGACTTGCTGAGGGGGTCCCATGAGTCATCAAAGGAAAGAGAAAAGGAAAAGAGTTTAGGGAGTGTGTGGTTGAGTTGTAGGATGGAGGTGACCCAGAGACCACAAGGGGTGCATGGGTTTGGGACAAACGTCACATCTGCGCAGGTATTGGTTGAGATTTTTCCATTGCTAGTTCTGGCCAGAGTGAGTTTGGTGACCTTAATCTTCTTTATTGTGCATTGTTTTTGGGGAAATCCCTTTAAGCTGGGAAAGGGCATATTAAAGGAGAGTATTGTTTCCCTTCAGTCTTTCCTCCTGTTGCATGTGGAAGTGCACACAGTCACACTCCTGACTTCAGTCCCTGTGCCATGGACACCTTTCCCACATCACTTCACATGCGTACTCAGGTCACTCTTTCCTACTGTGAGTTGACTAGATGTGGCAGATACAGCTTTGCCTTCCTGGGAGTCCCTTGTGAGCACTCAGAAGAATGTACTTAGCTGTGATTAACTGTGACACTGAGGAGGGTGAGAAGGGGTGAACTTTTATCTGGAGGGGAAAACTACCCAGCTGTAGCATAACTCGGGCCAGGTTCTCAAAATGTGTTGCAAATAACTGGTCTTTAAGCTCCAAATATAACAGATTTACTTTCATCACCTCCTGGCTGACAACTTGGTATCTTCAGAGATTATGCATGAGCTTTATTGTTTTTGTTCTTTTCATCACTTATCACCTTGCAAAATATGTGGCTTTCAGGGTATTTTCTGTCGAGCCCATGGCAGTCGATATTTGGGAAAATCTCTGAATCCAGAACATAAGCAGATGCTCCAGCACAGAGACCTCAGGGTGTAACTCTGGGAAAGCATATTCTGTTTAATCTTCACTAGCAGGCACCAGCCACTAAATCTGAGGTACAAAGGTTCAGATTGCACAGAAGTGGTGAATTTTTCAGTAAGGGAAGATGTGACCTATTCTTACTAATATTGACTGACAGTTCAATGTTCAATCCTTGAAAAATGCTGAGCCCAGTATGTGAAAGCTGCTAACCATACTGAAGTAAAGTGGAGTTGAGTGAGTCTGAGTGTTTTGAAGGAGATACTCAGGACTTCACAGGGTTGGGTCCAAAGTCCAGCAGAATCGCTGGGGAGTACTTGGTGGCCTTGCGTCTCCCCTCACCCTTCAGATGGTGCTTTCCTTTCTCTAACAGGATGTGTCTGTATTCAGTCGGCTTCAGAGTTAGGACTAATTTGCTCAGTCTTAGGTTACAGACAATGTCCCTCCATTTTCTGGAAGGGTAGGGGCAGTTTAAAACATCAGTGGAAAGAAGAGCAGAATATCTTTACAGCGAGTGGGTTTTACTGAATGACGCTAAGATGCTCAGAAGAGAGGATAATTCTGCTAAGCGTGTAGTTGTTTAGTGATTTGCATCCAGTAATTTAAAGAAAGGTCTGTGGTGACAAAAGCCTTTAAAATAATATATTGCCATTCTAGTGTAAAACATCGAAGAAGAGAGGAGCAGAGATGCAGGACTTCTATAAGAGAAGGAGTTTAATAAATTAGAGCTGGTTGAAAATGGGGGTGAGAGTATGGTGAATAGTGAATAGGGTACAGGGTAGAGCAGTATCAGAGAAATCCCATAGAGCAAACTGGCATGGCTGGGGTAGCCTTTGATCACGCATCTGAGTTATTGAAAGCTATATATCTAGTTAGATCTCAGGTAGCTTACTCACAAGTATCATCCAGAGGCAGGTGGAGATTCCCTCTGGAGGCAGCCAGTTCCTTGCTCATGAGTTTTGAGAGAGAGAGCAAGTTTTAGATGGTTCAGCTCTTCTCTCTCTCTGAGTCTTCCTCATGGCTGCTGCCCTGTACCTTATTCCAACCCTACCCCTTGTAACCAATAAAGTTCTCCTTTGTACCTAGCGTGGGAGACTTATTGGGAGTGGGTCTAGATTATGCCTTGGGGTCCCCTTGGTTTGGCTGACTAAGGGAGACCACTACTTGTGCTTCTGACTGAGGGAAGCACCCCAAGTTCTTGAAGTGAATCAAGTAGCCTCGAGGGCTACTAGACCTGTTTCTCAGGGTGCGCGTAGCCAGAATCAAGCCCATCCCTGGGTGGTGGCTGTGTTACCCCCAGGCTAGCAGATGTGCTCCAGGAAGGAGGTCCGCCACACGTGAGGCACCCCCAGGGAGGCACTCGGAGCCTGGAAGGTGGTCGGGCACAGTGAGGTGGGCGGCTCAATGAAGGAGCGCTCCCTACTGGCCCGCCACACGTGGTAATGGTGGGATCCGACAACCTGCTGTATTGAAGGCATAATCTGGGGAAGAGAAATAGAGTCATTGAAAACCCTCGAGCAAACCATTTCTAATTTGGCATTGGGGCGACTGAACAGTGTAGATAGCTAGGATGGCTGATGAGTATGACCACCTGTCGGTGGCTGACTTGAGAGATCTGATGAAGGTGAGAGGCCTTCAAGTGAGGAAGGAGCAAAAGGGAGAAAACCTGATTAAGATCCTGTGTGATAATGATCAGGCTGCAAGATCACCTCTGCGTGTCCGTCCAGAACCCATGGGGGGGGCACTGAGGGGCTACCCTCTGAGTGGGACTTCCAGAAATTCTAGCTGCAGCTGGAAGCTGAGGCATGAGAGTGCAAGCTCAAGCATGAGCTGGAGTTGAAAAGGATGGAGCTGGAGGCCCAACGCCAGCACGAGAAGGAACAGCGTGAGCATGAGGCTAGAGAAGCCTAGTGCCAGCACGAGGCAGAGGCCAAAGTGGTAAGGCTCAAGTGTGAGCACAAGCTTGCAGTACTCCAAATGCAGGCAAATGCTGAAGCTGCGGGCACCCAGCTCATACTAGATGCATCCCTCAGACTGAACACCCCAATCTTCTCTTGCTACAAAGATGGGGATGATCCAGAAGTGTTCCTAAGCATCTTCGAAAACCAAGCGCACCAACGAAAGTTTTCAAAGGAAGAGTTCATGAAACACATGGCTGCTCTGGTTGAGGGTGATGTCTGTGGTCCTGAACAGCTTGCCCTCGGAATCAGCAGATAACTATGGTACCTTTAAAAATGCTGTGTGTTCAAGGTTCAGGTTATTTCCAGAAAAAAGTCCGGAATACCATCCCACAACTGGGGAAGGCAATGGTTGAGTTTGCGGCCCAGGTGTGGGACTCACTCCTTAAATGGGCAGATGGAGCCAAGGCTGACAATAGAGAGAAGGCGCTAAACCTCATAGCGTTGGACCAATTTTATCACTGCTGTCCAAGGGAGATTAAAACCCTAGTCAAAGACAAGGCCCCCCAAAGCATCCAAGAGGCCACAGAAATTGCGGACCAGCTGATGCTAAATCATGAGGGGATAGACGAGAAGCCTCCCTACTTTGGGAAGGAACAGAAAGGGTTCCAAAGAGGGGGGAAGGGGGGGCCAGGCCCAAAAAGGGAAAGAGGGCCACCTCCTGCTGAGCGCAAGGTGGCCCCAGATTCTGACAAACCATCCAATTCAGAAAAGAGGGGGTGCTATAACTGCGGGGAGCCGGACCACATCAGGCCCAGCTGCCCAAAGCTAAGCAACAAACCCAAGCCAGTCAGACATGCAACAGCTGTAAGCAGTGAGGGGGGAGACCTGAGCCACTCTGAGGGGCGTGCCTGTTGCTGCAGGATTACAAGCCCAGAGGAGGTGACGGCCGCCTACCAGACTAAGATAACAGGAGAGCCCTTTTCGGGGAACTGGATGCAGGGTCCAGTGTGTCGTTAATCAATGCCAACCTTGTTTCTACCCCAAGCTAGCGGGTGTGCTCCAGGAGGGGGGTCGGCCAGATGTGAGGCACCCCCAGGGAGGCACGCGGAGCCTGGAAGGTGGTCAGGCGCAGTGAGGTGGGTGGCTCAATGCAGGAGCACGCCCTAGTGGCCCACCACAGCCTCCAGAGGTGCAGATTCCTGGGAACTAAAAGACCTTTTAAGAGCAGGGAGATCATTTGAATTTCTTTTGAATTCATTGAAATAGACCTGTGTGCAGGCAGATTGAGCTTCACTACCGTGCCGTGCTTTTGCCAGGACAGAAGGGCTTGTGGAGGAGCCCTGGACTGGGACATGGGAAAGCTGGCTTCATGTTCTAGCCCT